TCCATCTTCGTCTTTTCTTCTTTTTCAGCCTTTGTAATGATCTTTTGCATTCTTCATGGACGATTTTCTTGATATCCAGCTCCCTCTGGACTGTGCTACCAGAGATCCTTCATATTGGGCTTAGAAAACAAATTACTTTTCTATGTCTTCAGGTCCTTCTCCTAGTTTACATGGAATAATTTGTAGTTACTCTACATCCTGATTCACAGAGAGAATATAATTTTTTTCCCTGTTTCTCTTTATGACTCTTTAGCACATTTGTCCTTGTTTTTTCTTTTCCTCATTCTGTTATTATTCCTATAGTTTCCCTACATTCTTGAAGTCTATCAGTACTGATTTCCTTGTGACTATTTTTTTCTATCTAGTAAAATAAATCACAATTATATGAAAACTTAAACATTTTGACTTCTATTTAGGACATAATTCAAAGTTTGGACAGTATACTTTAACAAGAGGTTTAATTGGGTCATTTAAGAATGTAGAGATAGGATTCTTTAAGAATGTTTGGGAACATTAATTGTGGTGGCTGAAGCATTTGGTTACTAACCAGAAGGTTGGTGGTTTCAACTCACCAGATATTCTACAGGAGTTTGATATAGGTAATCTATTTATATAAAGATTTTCATCTTTGCAAACCACTGTGGACAAGTTCTGACCTGTAAAATCACATCAAATTGGAATTGTCTTGATGCTAGTGCACTGTTTAGGTGCACTGATTGAATGAGTCAAATAAGCTATCATGGTAGCAGTCTCTTATAATATGTTGTTATGTACCATCGAGTCAGAACTGACTCAGAGTTGACACTTCATCTGATTTTCAGAAGTAATAAATCTCATGGGAGATTTTCCATCTTTTTCTTGGGAAGCCACTGGTAGATGTGGACTATATGCCTTTGGGTTGGCAGTACAGCTCTTACCATTGAGCCACCAGAGCTCCCCTCTGTCGTATTGTTTATAGTAGTGATATGAGATGGTGGAAAATACACAGCAGCACATAACATGTGGGCCGATTGAAAATATGGAGGTAAAAAATGCTCATTATTTTTTAGTAACTATTAGTTTGAGTATCTCTGATTTTTATGGATACGTAAGAAAGATGAGAGCTCTGTATTTTTTTTTTTAAATTTGTGTAGTAGAAAATTCAATTGAAATTCTATATAACAAGTACCACTAAAGGTTATGTACTAATCGAAGTGAGGACACAAATGAGGAAGTAATAAATGGTGCTTGAGTTATTAAGGGACAGCAATTTCATAGTCACCTATTAGATTAAGTTTACCAGACAAGAGTCAGGGACAATAGCAGTGTTGCAGAAATTATTTGAAGATTAAAAAATACCATTTTCATGGTAATGAGGACTTAATTATTTAAGGTTAAATTTATAATTTGCTATTTTTTTTCCTTCAATTTTAAAAAATGTTTCTTATCACTGTCTAATGACATTTCGTGTTTAATTGAAGGAATCATGAGTTCTGTTTAGTGAATCACAATTTACTGTTGCCTCTCTAGCTCCTACTTTTGTTCTAGGTTATAATTTTCAGTTAAAAGTTTGCATGTTAATGAGTTCATGAAAAACCTATTGATTGTTAGATTTGAATGTTACTCAAATTAGTAATGAACATGTTTTTTTTAATAGGTAGTAGATCATCTCAAGCAAGATTGCCTTCGGTTCCAACAGTAGGTTCAGTTCCACAAGATGCAGTTTCAAATATGAGGTATTTAAGCTGTTAAATTAGATATTTGTGATTTAATCCTTCTCATGACCCTTTTCTCTCTACAGGTACATTTCTTTGTTGGGCTTTTGTTTTGTTTTTTCTCATATTCTTTCTCACTGTGTATGATAATTCATGTTTGGGGGTTTTTTTGGTGTTGGTTGTTTTTTTAAAAATATTTCTCCAATTTATTTACAAAGTTTGAATACTTTGTTTTTCACAAAAGGACCACTCACGTATGTTTTGTTTCATTACATTTACTACAATACTTACATTTTTCAATTAGTATTACAGACAGACTTGAGCATGCTTTGGAAAAAGCAGCACCTCTTCTGCGAGAGATTTTTGTGGATTTTGCACCTTTTCTTTCCCGTACACTTTTGGGTAGCCATGGACAAGAACTGCTTATAGAGGGGACAAGTGAGTAATTTATCTTTATTTTATTATATCCATTAGAATTAGGAAAAATTATATTCACAGAGACATGTTATTTTATTGTTTTTAACTTTGTTGGCCAACCTTCTAATAGAGTTTTTATCCTTGAGAAGTATATCTCTGTTATATTTTAATTTGGTCAAGATTTTTACCAGTGGTTTATATGAAGCAGAAAGGTATGTGTTAATCCAAAAATATTAAGTATTAAGACTACTTAGTTTAAAGGATAGAATTCACAATAATTAGTGAAACATTAATGTAAGGCTTACATAAAATTAAGATTCATAGAAGTGAGAGTGTATTACTGAATTTTAAGAAAGTGAGGAATGCATTATTAGTTTTTATTACTGAAATTTTCATATACCAATAATTGTAGAAAAGAATGGTATTGTATTCCAGCCTGTTTACTTTAGACCCTTTATCGGTAGTGCACTTTGAAATTGTACCACATCAGTAGCATGTATAATTAACTTTTAAAGACAAGATGAAAATTTCTTGGAAACCCAACCCCTTTTTCTTTTTCTCTTAGTATGGTGTGCTTACTATGTAGCATACTTTTTGAAATTTAGAAAGAGAAGTCTCGTACGAGTAGAATTAGACTTCAAGTTGAATTTACATCAACTCTGTATTATGGTTCAGTGTTGTTGTTAGGTGTCATTTAGTTGTCTAATTACTCATAATCAACCTTGTGCTGTCTTGCCCTATCCTCATGGTCTCTGCCATGATCAAGCCCATTACAGAAGTTACTATGCTAATCCATCTAGTTAAGGGTCAGTCTTTGTCTGATCTTCTGCCTTTACCAGCATGATGTCTTTTACCAAGGCCTGGCCTCTCCAGACAACATTTCCAAAGTAGTGAGAAAAAGTTTCACCATCTTTATTTGTACGGAGCACCCTGAGGTACTTCCTTCAGGGCAGATTTGGGATTTTTTTTTTGGCAGTCCATGGGATGTTTAATACTCTTTCCCAACAGCATAGTTCAGAGGCATGGATTATTGTCTGTCATTCTTGTTTATTGTCCAGCTTTGAGATGAATAGGAAAGAATTGAAAATAATGTGGGTTGGGTAGTGCACTTTTGTCTTTAAACTGACATTCTTAAAAAAAAATCTTCAGTTCAATAGAGAAAGATAAGTAGGGATATTTAAGAGTTTAAGGAGTTATGGTGACCTAATTGGTAGAGAGTTGCGCTGCCAACACTAAGACAACCAGTTCAAATCCACTAGGTTCTTTGCATGAAAAAGGTGGGCAGTCTCTTTGTTTGTAGTTTAAGGTCTCTGTAAAGCCACTAAAAGGTCAGCTGTGAGTTGATTCTGAGTTGATAGCAATGACAAGCGAGGAATTAAAAGATTGACTTAGATTGTAGCCTTCGTTGTCATAGAAAAATTTAAGGAGAAACTAAAGGACTTTTATCTTAAGTTGATATAGAACTCCTTTTTTACTTTGAAAAATCTTGAGACCATAAAAAATAAATGTGTATGAATTTTGGAAGTAAACTAGTATAAAATTTTTTAAATAATATTTTGATACCATGTAGAAAGAAAAGCAAGTTCTTGCTCACCAGAGGATGGGAGAATGGGAGGATGGGAGGGAGGAATGAGGAATGGTTTCTTTATGGATTTAAAATTTGTTTTGGAATGATGGAAATGTTTCAGAACTAAAAAAGGTGTTGATAGTAAACATCATGAATGACCTAACTGATAACTGAATTGTTCCATTCAAAATAATGACTTTGAGATCTGCAAATTTTACCTAATTTTTTAAAATACATATATAATATTCAGACTATACTATTGAGTCTTTTTAAATTTCGAATGAAAAGCATAGTTCCCTGAGGATGGAAAAGCAAAACTGGCTATTTTCCAGCTTTTTAAGTGTCATCTTTCAGCTTTAGTTGTTGTTGTGTGCTCTCGAGTTAGAACTGACCGACAGCTGACCCTTTCGTGGGTTTTCAGAAGCAGTAAATCACACAAGAAGGGACTGCTGATCTTTCTTGAGTGGAGCAGCCAGTGAATTTGAATGACGTACCTTTGCCTTGGCAGTGCAATTCCTCACCTCTGAGCCACCATAGCACTTTTATTTATTGAACAGACTACAGCTTTAGTAGCCAGAGTTTTAAAGTTAGATAAACTCCTAGTACATATTTTTTTTTCTAT